TCTGAAAAAGGTCTCTTTTGAAACCGGGATCTGTTGCGATCAGCCCAGATGATCTGACATATGATGCCTCTCACCACATGCGCTACGTAGCCCCAACCTCTGCTCCCCGACGTGTGAGCAGGGAGAAAGCCCAGCAGTACCCACTCCTCGTTCCATTCCACCGCTTGTCCTCCAAACTCTTTCCAGTGGAAGGACCACCATTGCCACACTCGTTTGGCCGCTGGGCACTCCCACCAAAGGTGCCTAGTGGACTCAAATGGCCACCTGCACCTTGTGCATCCCAGACTAACCTCCATTCCTTTGCTTCTCAACCAAACCGCCGACGGGGTTACCATCAGGGACAGCAGCCAGAGAATGCTGACCTGTTTCCCGTTCGATAGTGAGCACAGTGCTTTCCACAGACGCTCGAACTTTGGTGCCGCATCCGATAGGTCCTCACCCCAGACAGCTTGCCAGCGAGGAATTGTTGTCTGGGCTGGCGACTTCAGATGGCCCTTTGACTGTTGATAGCTGTGTGTTGTTGTGTAGTCCAGCAGCCTTACCTCCACCCCATCTGTGTTCCTGGGTGACCAACTCCAGGCTGTCGGGTCAATACAAAGGCTTCGTAGGGGGACTCTCCCAACCCATGTTTGGGTATGATCTGCTGGGCCCGTGTGTTTTGTCTCTACCACCCTCGCTTGAGCAGGGTTGCCCCACACCCTCACTGTTTCTTCCTCTGCTCTGGACAGTATGTTGGTCATGCCTTCGCAGTGCCATTTTTCCACCTTCCTGAAACCGCTGGGGAGGATCTCCATGACCTTCCATAGAGTGTTGTTGCCTGGCTCCGAGTTTGGAACGTACCACGTGCCCGGGGGGTCCAGCCCCGCCGGGCCCAGTAACCTCAGCCACTCTTGGGGGATTGCCTCTTTGATGCTCCTCCAATGGCCCTCCACCTGCTGCAGGCTTTTGAGTACATCTTTTATCTCAGACAATGGTTTCCAGCTTCCCAACAGTGTGGACCAGAGATCCTCAATGCGGACCACTCCTCTCCTGACCCAGGACTGCCCAAATGTACCTGCGGAACCGTCTGCTTAGAAGGTGGCTCCGCCTTGGTCCCGGATTTCCGGGTTGTCAAATAGCAGCTGGAGAAGCACTTCCTCCTTCGTGGTTGGAGGTTGCTGTGTATCTGGGGGCAACTTGTTCCAGACCCTCCTGATTGCCTCCTAGAAGCGGGATTTCACTCTCCTCTTTCTGACGGATGGCATGAACAGGCAAGCCCAGACGTCCTTGGGTCTGGCCAGCTCCCACTCCTTCGCTAGTATACGCTCCGCTAGGACCACCCAGTGTTCGCTTGGGCCCAATGTGGCCACCTTTGCTACCCACCCTCTGAGTTGTGCCTGGTTCCTGCGCGCTGGGTCCATGAGACCCAGGCCTCCTTCTTCCCATGGGAAGGATAGAGTGTCCAGAGCTACTTTTGATATGAATGATTCCTCCTGTTTGGCTCTAGGCTTCCAAATAAACCGGGCAACTAGTCTCCTGATTACCTTCAGCACTCCGACGGCCAATCCCCTGACAGTGGACACAAACCAGAGGATGGAGTATAGGGCCACATTAGTGACCAGAGCTCTCCCCACAATTGAGAGATGCCAGGCCGAACCCCACGTTCTCAGTCTGGCCGAGATCCTTTGCTGTAGTAACAGTCCCTGCGTTGATGCATCAATTTGGAGGCTGATTAGTACTCCCAGAAATCTTGCCTCTTCTCCCTTCTTTACTCTTTTCATCCCCCATTCCACCTCTAGCCTGAAGTCTGCTGGCAACAGATAAGTGGATTTGTTCCAATTAACTGTGGCCTCAGACAGGAAAGAGTACTCTTTCAGTATGTCCCTAAGTGCTGACAGCGAGGCCTTCGTGTTCTCACTCATCACGAACAAGTCATCAGCTAACGCCTTCACTTTGCACTCTTCCCCACTGTGTAGTCGCAGTCCTTTAATAACCTGGTTTTTGCGGATCCTGTTGAGTAGCACTTCGAGCTGTAGGACGAAGACAAGCGAGGCCAACGGGCATCCTTGTCGGAGCGATCTTGTGAGGGCAACGGGGGGGGGACAGATGACCGTTGATCATCACCGCTGACGTCGAGAAAGTGTACATGGCTATGATCCAAGCGCAAAAGATCCTCCCGAATCCCATTTTTTTCTCAGCGTTGTGAGGACGAAAGCCCACCCAACTTTGTCATAGGCTTTCTCCAGGTCTAGCAAGAGGATCGCCATCTCTTGATTCTCGTTATGTACAATCTCTAACGCCTCGATTGCTGTTACGATGTTGTTGAAGATGAACCTGCCTTGCACAAACGCTCCTTGGTCTTTTCCTACCAGATTCAGAAGATGGTTCGAGAGTCGTCGCGCTAGAGATTTTGCGAGGATTTTGTACGAGATGTTCAACAACGATATAGGCCTCCAGTTTCTCACTTCAGCCTTGTCCCCCTTCTTGAATAACACTGAAATCACGCCATGTGTCATCCCCTTTCCCAACCTGCCGCCCGTCGTCACTTCATTGTAAATCTTCACCAGCGCTTCCCCGAATGCCCCCCAATTGGCTGCATAAAACTCCACTGTGAGTCCGTCCACCCCCGGGGACTTCCCCCTTGCCATTGATTTCAAGGTCTGTGTAACCTCCTCTAACGTGAGCGGGCGGTCGAGGTCCAGCCTCGCAGTGGGACTCAGCTGGACCGTCGTGCTGTCCCACATATCAGAGGACGCTGAGAGATCTGAGTTAACATCATCTTGGGGGCATCTTGTGGAGAGCACATCCTCGTAGTACAGCCTAGCGTACTGGAGCATGTCAGCGGCTGAACACGTCGTCGGAGCGGATTCATTGAAGGGGTGCCTGAGTTCGATCATCTGTTGCTGAGACCTGCTTGGCAACAACTTTTGAAAGGTGTCCTTCGTCATCTTGTCGTGCGTTTCGATCCCTTTGTCCTGGAGCAGTTCGTTCCACCATCTTTGCTTGTCTGCCTGAAAATTGTCCCACTCTTCTAACCTTTTCTCCCGTTCGGCCGCCCATACCATCATGGATATTGGTTGGTCGTCCATTCGCTCCTCAGCCTCCTCTACCCTCCTCTTGAAGTCTGCCTCTTTCTTGTTTCTTTCTCTTGCCAGGATTCGGGAGATCACGTCGAGGATCCCGGAAGTGATTGAGATGCCGTCGTCAAGCACTCGGCTGATGAGTCAAAAAGTGGCTTTGCAGCCTCCCATTTGGCCATGTGGTCTGATACCCACTCGCTCACACATGGTACTTGTAAAACTTGGCTGTTGAGACGGAAAAAACCCTTGCCTCTTTCCACTCCCAGGTGTAGCCGAATATCTGCAACAACAGGTTTGTGGTCTGACAAGGTCTGTCAGACTTCCCGCACTGAGGTGACCCTGTCCAAGACTTGGTCCACCACTAGGAAATAATTTAGCCGCCTCCTGGTCACTGCCTGTCTCTCCCTGCAAAGATTTGAGGTCCAGGTGTAGCCTGCCTCCCCTGGGTTCAAGATAGGGAAGGGGTCGGACAATGTCAGCTCTGCACTGAACTCCACGAGAGTTCTGACATCGTTCCGGTTGGCTGACGGAGCTCCCGGCCTCAATGCTTCATCCATAGATACGTTCCAGTCCCCGACCACTACCAGCCTGTCCACCTGTGGGACATTCCGCATGAGCTTGGAGAAGAATCTTGCTCTTTCCCCCGGTGCTGATGGAGCGTATACCGTCATCAGCGCCCACTCCTCGTTCCCAATCGCTACTTTCATCCACGCCCATCTGCCCCATAGGTCTGCTTTGGAGTCTATCACCTGTGCTTGGAGATCCCTATGAAGAAGTATCCCCACTCCCCCTCGGCTACCTTGTGTCGGGGCCCATATATGTGGCCCCTCCCACCAACGCTCGAACTCTTGGAGCTTCACTTCATTTAATTTAGTTTCCTGAAGAAAAACGCAGTTGATCTTCTGTTCGTGGAGCCAACTCTTCAGACGACGCCTCTTGGACCTCCCATTGGTGTCGCCCAAGCCGCGGATGTTCCAGGTGGCTGTTCGGATCTTATCCATCAACTGTGTTTGAGACCGCCTGCTGTTGGATGCGGTTGCTGTGTGCCTGCTGCTCGGACTGTGCCAGCGACGTCCTGCTTCTGTTGGCGGAGTCTCATGATCTGTGCTGTGATCTGCTTCTAGCCGAGCTGACCTTGGACGACGACTTCCACTCCTCTGTCAACTTGTCGGCTAAGAAGCTGGAGTGCAGGTTCACCTCCGGCGACAATTTCTCGTTAATGTTTAGTAATATCAGAGCATATATTCCAGGTAAAACCTTGATATGGTCCAGTTCCTACTGGTTCCGCTCCCTGACCAGATCCATGTGGCACCAGCGGATACCGGACTGGGACAGCAGGTTGGCTGATTCTTGTGGTACTCTCGCATCCAACAACGGGAAGTACATCTTCGTATAGCCTTGGACTGTTTCCACTATCACATTCGCCATCTCAGCATGTGGAATGAGCCTGATCGGGACATGCGTTCCGAACAGCTTCTTCGTTTCCTCTAATATCATCGCCGGTGTAGGGGACCTGTCAATTGTTGTCGAGGGGATAATGGAGACGTTCACCTCATCCGCAATAGCCAGAAAGCAAATGCCCTGCGCAGAGCTTGTGCACAGCAGCAAGACTAGGCATCTCTGAACCGTTTCCATCTTGTTTCTTTCAAAGGTCTCAGCTCTCTGGACCTTGTTTAGTGTACGCCTGTCCCCCACCTTTTGTCCACCCCGATGGTCTTGTCCTAATGCTGCTGGGCTCTTCAAGGAGGAAGAGTCATCTGCGTGATGGGACGAGTCGTACCCCTCTTCACAACACTCGCTGCCCCATCTGATCCTCGAACGGGACGTAACAGAGGTCTTCGACAGTTCTTCTCGGATTGTTTCTTCTCGCGGCGGAGGGTTGTAGGGGGCTTTTTTTTCCCCGACGCGACCTCTTCCTCTACCCTCCATCTGGGGGAATGGAACTGTGGATCTTGCCTCCACTGTGGTGTAGAGATATCTCTTGAGCTTTGAAGATCTTCTTTCCTTGCATCCCACCTTGAACTACTTGACCTTGTTCTTCGTCTGTTCGCCCCACCCCTGGCATCCCACCTCGAGAAGTCTAGGGAGGGGTTACCTCTCCCTTGCGCCGTGTGAGTCAGTTTCCGCCAATCATAGTCTGCTGAAGGGTACCCAGGAATTGGATGTTCCACTTGTACAAACTGCCTGCCGTGACTCTCCTGTTCGGGTTGTCCCCCATATAGCCCATGTCTCTGTTCCAGCTGTCCCAGCTGCTGTTGCACGAGTCTGTGTGCCTGGTAAGCCCCGCTGGCTTCTGTTTCGCGTTGGTACCAGTGGTGGTGCTCTTGCCAGTCCATGTGTGCTGCGGGGCCCTGAGTATCGGGGCCAGCGCCAGCCCACTGAGCCCTGTATGTTCGGTCATACCCACCTCCTTCCCCTTGCCAATCCCTTCGTGCATTCCAGGGGGTTTGCATCGACATCCCTGCTACCGGTATCTCTTTCTGTCCCCACAGTTGGTATCCTTGCGCTAGTTCTTCCCCTTGGGCCCTGGGGCCCCTGGGACCAACCTCCTGATTGGTGAGCTGCTGTTGGTGCTGCAGGTGCCCGAGATTAAGAAAAACTTCTCTTTGCTCTGCCTGACCACTGATCGGTCTGTCCCCCGAGTGCAGCTGGTGGCCTAACCGTACCACTTCTTCTCTGGGGGACTGTGCCTGCGTAGCCTGTCTGGAGATTCGGGAGACTGCTTGTCCTTGAGTGTGTTGTCCTGCTGAGCATTGAGTCGGAATATCTACTCACCTGTTGCCTGATTCCGCAGCAGTTGATCGTTCTTGAATCTGGAGATGTTCCCTGAACCGGATACAGTGCCTGCCTTGTTTCTCCCCGTTACTTCTTCGCCCCTCTTCGTTTTATCTGAGTCTTGGGCAGCTCTCCTCTGTGTGGAAATACCATTTGCATCTTGTGCACCAATATGTGTAGGGTGTAACAATCTCAACCTTCCAGCAAGTACCTTTTGGTGACTGTATGACCAACTCATCATCGATCTTGGGCCGGGCTTTGGGTGGCATGTCAAACTTTACATTCATTAACTTTGGCCTTTCTTTGTCGAATTTTGGTGAATGCATCTCTAGGACCTCCCCAAACACCCCTCTTACCGCGCTTCTCAGAAAGTAGTAGGCGTCAAGCGACACTCTTAAGGCCATAATCCAGAATTTGGACTCCGCCTCCTGGATTCGAGCAACTTGCATTTCATGTCTGGATAACCTTGGCTTAAAGGAAACTGAGTATTCCTTGCCCACCAATCTGATACTCAGTTTTTTCTGCTGTACTAGCCAATCCGCGATCTCCTTCGCCTTTGCCACGTACGAGGCCACATTAGCACCCTCAAACTTGACACGGCCCCTGCAAAAGCTTGGTTGGAACAGTTTCTTTGCGGTCCACCCGTCTTCGTAAGCCCAAATTAAGTCCTCCATGACTGAACGTTGCAGATTCCTAGCCTCCCCTTGAAAGGTTACTACTACCGACCTTTCTCTCAACCTCTGTTCCTTCACCTCATCGACCATTTGGTTCACCACGAAACGTTTTCCATCTTTGTCCTCAACTACCTCGCCCAGGCTCGCATTGTTCGGGCAGACTCCCTCATCATAACAGCGCCCTACTGACTCCCTAACTCTGTTGAGATCCCCTGTTAGCGTGGGATTTCCCTCATTCCCCTGACCAGCCATCCCTCCTTCTTTTCCCAGGCAAACTTCTGGAGTCTTATGGTTTCGAGAGTCCACAGAGCACTGTCCTTCAGCTGCTTTCCCAATACCCGTACTGTTTTACCCTCTTGATCTCCCTGCTTCGACTCTCCTCTTACAGGGGAAGTGATGCGGAGAGCCTCAACAAGAGTCGATTGCTTGCCCTCAGATTACCTTGTTCCACTGCAAGCAATGAGGGAGTATGCAGTTCCACCTGTCGCCGTTGGGGCCCACCAGCCTTCAAAATGACAGACAGGCACCTATCCGAGGCGCTATACAGAGGGAGACACGATAAGCAGCAAGAAGGGAGTGTTACTTTATACCATTCTTTGATCGACCGTTCGACCCATGTGCTGCACTCTCGACCGTGAGAGCTCGCTGAAATGCTGGAGAAGGCATTAACGCTCCATCTCCAACCAATCAACCCCCATTTGATACTCAGCCCACCCCTCACCTAGCTATCAAAAACGGCCCTTGACAGACCTCACGCTGAACTGTCGTTTGACCCTCAGACACCCCTCAATTGATTACGGTAATTGCCAATCTACCCCGTTAGAAAATTACCTTCCATTGACCACGACAATGACCCGACGTATTAATCACCTTAGAAGAATGAAGCCTGATGCAGCGAGTGAAGGAGCACAAAAGGGATAGTCCAAAACAAACTGCTCTCTCCTCAGCGTGAGTTCGGGTTGGATGGTTCACCGTACACTGGATCCTGTCTGCTGCTTGTCTCTCCTCCCCTCCCTGTGCTCAGGATGACCTTCTCTACTGCTCCTACCTTCTCTCCCCTTGAGCAGTCTTATGCCGCCTCGGTGTCCTTGCCTTACCATTCCGAAATATGAATCCGCTATCCCTCCTTCTCTACCCCGTTACTACTGCGATGGCGAGCAACATAGCGGACCTCGGTCTTTCAATTACCTCGGAAACCCAACTTCAGATTTCGGAACGGCTTGCCCCCTCAGGACTGCTCTACTGTTGCCAAGCCCTGTAGTGCGAGAGACACGGATTCCTAACCGAGCTTCCACTTCTGGAGGATACTCTCATGGTTACAAGTACCTTGCATTGCCACTACGGTCGGGAGCGAGTGGAATTTCTTGTCAAGTTACCAGCGCCTCCTCGACTGTTAGTACAGGGGAAGTTCCCTCTTCTCATTAATCATGAGGCGACTCCTCCCAGTTGCCTGGCGGTGTTTCCCCATTTGCCTTGTTTCTTCCTCCCCAAGCTACCACTTACGTCTCTTTTGGTTTCCCCATCTCTCTCACTACTTTTTCGGGATTGCAAGTTACCGTGGTAACTTTAGGTTACTGAGGACATTCTTTCGCTTGTCCCTATTGCGTCCTATTCTGCTGGCCCATTTACCCCGCGCTCACACCTACAGCACGTAGGTCGATTACCCCATTTCCTTCTCCCCATTTTCGGAAGAAGGAGTTACTGTGATAACTTTTAGGTTACGGAGTTGGATTTACCGGCGTCTCCCTACTGTGAGTTACCCGGCTAACACTCCCTCTTAGATCAGCTCCGGATTTACTTCCCCTTTACTCCTCCGACACGACTGTAGGGGGAATTCGTGGACGAGCCTACTCTTCGGGCAAGGCTAAAGCTTCGGTGTTGATAGGCCTTCACAAGCTATCGGAAAGATGACTCTCTAGTTTCTTCCTAATGCTCCTGTAGTCACCGTCGCATCTGCTTTCCTTGTCGTCCTTTCCCTGGAATACCCCTTCGAAGATACACTGAGTTCCGTTTCTAGACGAAAAGAACGCTATGAATGCTCCTACTCCACCCTGTCTACTGGACTGTTCGGCGATGGTAACGTCCTGAGAATATGTCTCCACTCTCTCGAGGAGTGTGCATTACCTTCGTTCTACGCCCCGTCATGGCGGGGGGGTGCTCAGACGAACATCGCTACGCGAGGGGATCCGTGTAGCGGCGCTGAAACCGGAGCGCTAAGCTACCGGCCCGGAAACAACGCTCCTTCTCTCAACCCAACTTCCCATTGGCGTCTTTGACTTAAATGTTTGGAGTATAGAAGGAAGATAGAATGAGGAATAGCTTGTAGTTTTTGTTGAGCTTCATGGAGATGTTTTTTTGGAAGAATTGCTCATTGAAGGGGACGCTGGACCCAATTTCCAGCTCATAGCCTATCTGGGCAATGGCCCCAGCTTCTTACCGGGTTGTTTGTGAGGATTCCCGGCCTCTTTTGGTTCCCATTTGAAATATAATGTTTCAATTCTTCCCAAAAAAAAAAAAAAAAAAAACTAGCAGAGCGGAGTGGTGAACACCGTTGTGAATGGCTACGATATGCAGAGGCTTGGGCTACCAATCTCGCTCCACTACTGTCTGCTGTACACAATTTCGTATAGCGGCCGTATAGCTAGTTGTTAGAGTTCAAAAAAACGTATAAAACCTGGCCTCACTCCACTTACTATCGGCTATACAGCACATCAATTCTTTGCGTTTGCAAAATTGGGGTCGTATAGTGGACAGTAGTGGAGGGATGCAGGCACTATCTGAAGTGGGTGAGGCCTGTCCCACAGAGGCCTCACGACGGAGGTCCCACAAATTTCCGCCGGGAAAGGGTGCGTTGTCGGCGCGAATGCCCGTACAAGGATATCCGCCCTGGTTTTCTGCAAGCAACGGAAATGAGGGTAGGAGTAAAAGTTGGGTGCAGGGGCGCAGTTTTGAGGCCCGTGTGAAGCAAGAAGAAAAACGGACGATGTGACATTGACTTACCGTGAGGGCATGGGTGCGCAGCCCGTAGTTTGTTTGTTGATGTTGTTGTGAATGTGTGTAGATGTGTGTGAAAACACATGTTGCGGAGGCCTCAGCAAGCAATAAGTACATGCTCCACCTCACCGTCACCTCACAAGGTAAAGCCCCATAGGATTCTACAAAATTCTAAAATCCATCGTGTTATATCACACCTCACAACAACGAAAACAGCAAGGAAAAGACCACAGCAAGCCGCAATGCAAACAACACAAAACAACAAAGCATATAGGCTGGAGGGCACGGGGGAGGCGGGKGGGTAGGCAAGCACAAGCCTATGTTGCTCCAGACAAACGACACAGGGCTTATGTTGCTCCAGATAGACAGCATGCCGCAAGGCAAACAACACAAAACAGCAAAGCATATAGGTTAGAGGACGCGGGGGAGGCGGGGAGGCAGGCAAACAGCACACAACAACAACACACACTGGGTAAAAGACATGGCGTAGACGGATGGGCAAGCAAACAGCGTAAGACCAGCAAAACAAACAACTACAATGCAAAAACAGCACCCGGAAAAAAAAACAAGTATAGACAAAGAAACAACCGAAAAAAATAAATAAAACTGATGATGAAAGATTGTTTCGTCGGAATTGCACCGACTCATCAGGAGGCTGAACCCTCGACAATCTGCGGAATGCCCGTATTGATGGTTTGGGTCATGCACCCTTTGACCCTTGTTGAAGG